AGGCACTACATTACCACTACAACCTAACGTAATCTAACCACATTATCAATAATACTACAATAACATAGAAATTAACTTTAAATAATTAATAATAATTATTATTACATTTTCAGGAATTGATTGTGATATGCTATGAAAATAAACCTAAATAAATTCCCTTTTTCAAACGACATAGTACCAGAAAATGTTGCGCCTAAGTAACCTTCTAACTACGTGCGTACTTAAACGGTTTCAATCTATCACGACCATGAAAAACTAAGGAAGGCAAGTGTAGAAGCAATTAATTTTTATAAACATTTATCGGAAATATTACATGAATTTAGAAATAAACTATTTAACAATATTAAACAAGAATTAATTTGACTCTATTAAAAATTCAATAATAAATATAAATAATATTTTACAATTAAATTACAAATTTGGGATCCGAAATCTTGAATATAAGCAATTATTTGTAATACATTTTTTGTGACTTTGTTTTATCCAAAATATTGAATGTTTACAAAAATAGTTGATATAAATTGGACCCAATCACAAACGCAGGCTTCTATACTCTTAACAAATAACAGAATTAATACCAAAGTTTACTTTTTATAAATTAGATAAATTAGACAATTAAAAAGTTACTGACACACAAATTGCAAGGCAAAAATATTAAATTGTGAATACACTAGACTTAATAGATATATAATAAATTAATTATAATAGTGGCAATTAATTATTAAAACATTTTCTTTTTCACTGCAGTGTAGCGTTCCATATAGCTGTCATATCCATCGAGCTCCGTAAACTGTTTGTTATTAAAGAGGTTACCATCGACAGCCAGATTACATATTTTTGATTCTTTAAGTATATGTGGCGTGAAAGCTGAAGCCTGCAAACAATTTTCTTCCAAACGCAATGTTTTCAGTTTCGGACACGCCGCTATATTTTCCGATAAGGATGATATTTGATTTTGGTTCAAGTTTAACTCGGTAATGTATAGTGTGCCCACTTCATTGGGCACGCTCGTAATTTGATTCCGAGACAAATCCAGTACATCCAGATGCTTGAGTCCAGACAGCATGACAGGAAAATCTCGAATTTGATTATGACTTAAATTTACGGTTTTGAGATGACTACAATTTGCTAGTGTCTTTGGAATCTTAGTTAGAAAATTATCCATAACCAATAAAACTTCTAATTTGATCAAATCGCCCATTACATCCGGCAGTTCAGTTAATTTATTTCCGCTTAAATTTAAATGTTTTAACAGCGTAAAGCGACCTAAATCGTCTGGAATCTTTTCGAATCTATTTTCTGACAGATCCATTGTCTTCAATACGTTGGGATAAGTTTTAAGCTGCGGCGGAAATTCCTGTAATCGCTGTAAGGATATTTTCAAAATACCGGTCTTTTGTGCAGTCTCCAAATGCTGTTTTATTTGTTTATTCCCCATTTTGATTATTAAAAATTACTTTTTGATTTAAGCGCAAAAATTATAACAAAATAGTGCACGGAATATTGTTAATTAGAAATTAATTGTTGACAGTCACCTGTTTACTTTCGTTTCATCAAAACATGAAATTGTTATCGATAACTTCGAGCTGTCAAAATGCGCAATGTGTTCGGAAATAATTTATAACTTAAAAATATATTGGATATCAGTTTAATTAACGCATAAGGCCGTGTGCGAATTCGAGTAAATTGATGATAAATTGAGGGAAATAACAAATTATGTCGGTATGGCAGCAAATGTTGATATTTACCAAAATTTCGAGTAGATAGAAATTAAATTAGATAAAAATTAGGTAAATTATGTGTTACCATTGTGAAAATTTTATAAGATGTTTAATAATTAAATTAATAAATTTGAAAACTATTAACCAAAAATAATAAATAAGTACAATAAATAAATAAATAAATATTAACATAAGTGCAGTGCAAAAAATCCCTAGGAAATGTCAATTTACTTTACTATCAATTTGTTCGAACACACACTATTTACGTGATTCCTAAATGTTTCTCTATTATTAGTTATTAGTTAAAATAAAACTTACTGAAAATTTTAACTAAAAATCGCCTTATTTATTTTCCCTTTAGATTGTGATTGTTTACTGTTCAAACTTGTTCTTAAGTTCCCTTTTGTCTTCTAAGAACCGACATATGGGCAATTTTTTGTCAAACCGCCATCCAAAATATTTTCATTTTTTTCTAAAATAAGAACTCAGTTAAATTTTACTCTTTATTTAATAATATTTACTGCCCATACTTATCAAAGTCCAACACTTCCTTTGGCTTTTAGTAATCATTGAATGTTTGTTGATTTTAAATAATTTGTAATTTTTTATAAAACATTGAAAGCAAGTAATGTTCTTTAAAAAATCAAACAATCATTCAACTCGATTGTTGAAATGAGAATCAATTCATTATTAGAACCTATTGTTAAATAGGGGGCGGATTCATACGATTATGTTACTTGCATGTTCTTTTTATACAATTTTACATCAATTGCAATAAAAATCATTACCCTAAAGCATTACGCCTTTAAACGAATTTTAAGATTGGAAGGTCAACCATTAGATAGCAGGAACCTAACAAAGCAATTTCTTACCTTGGTTATTTAGTAACAACTGAAATTCTATCTTAATTCCACATTTTTGACGATATGAACCAAATTCTTTTGCAAAATATTGCATTACTACGTTTTTGGAAGTATCATCCTCAAAATGTTATCATAATAAACTTAAAATGTCCCACATCCGATATAACTATGACGCAGGTATCGGCATGCTTTATTATTTTGCAGTTTGAGTTTTTTCCAGTCCGTATTGAACTTCCGTCAGACTTTCGCGCCACTGGTGTATAAGAACCTAACAAACGCAGATTAACTCTTTATTTTGTCAATACTTATTGTAAAAGTTGTATCTCATATCTTTTTAATAGTCGGACTGCAGATTAGAAAGAACGGGAGATCACTGGAACATGGTTTTAAAAAGATGCGAAAGATGCTTTCGCTAATTATGTGATGCGAAAGCTTGTTTGCTGCTGATCAGCTATAGCTCCTACTAACCAACCATACATCTCCTTTTCTTCATCTCCTTTTAACAGAAAATAGGGAAGACATAAACCAGTTCGTGAAGTAAATACATTATAACCTATAAAATTTATTATTTTAGGATGCTATAACGCTATGCAAAGAATGGAGCTAATCTACATATTCTTACATTTCAAATCTGCACGTGTATATTTGGGTTTTTTTTTTTGTAATTCTTTTATTATTTCCCTTATATTTTGTAAACTGTCTAATTGTATTGATCACTATTGATCGACCATCACTACTTGTTTATATGTAAAACCAAGGGATGTGTTTTTTTATGGGCGTGCTTTGTCTGTTGCAAAATTGATTGAACGAAAAATGAGTTTCTTATCCATAATTGCCGCAGAACTGGCACCCAATAAACCTATTATAGAAAAGCTTGCCGAAAGGGTAATTCTTGGCAGATTAAATGATGTGGTTGGTTCACGCAATATACAAACAAGCACCAGCTAAAAATTGCACAAAGCCAGGCTCTGAGAAGACTGTTCAAAGTTCCATGGTACATTAGGACAAATGACATCCTCAGGGAGATCAAGATTGATCCCATTAAAAAATATATAAAGGATAGAGCCCTGAAATTATTTGCAAAAACTGACAGACTTACCAACACCGCGTTATCGAATCTCAGAATGGTTACAAGCTCCTCTAGGAGGTGTGCAGATCTGAGGTCAATTATTGCTTAGTCTGATGAAGTGATAAACAATAATCCAGTCAAGGTGTAGAGAGGGGTTTTGAAGAAACCTCGAGTTAAAAAAGAGTATAAGTGCTTAATTAAATATATGTTATTTGGCTCATAAAATATTAATTTAAGTTAGTTTAAATAGCATTTTATGCTTCGCCAAAGGTTTTAGGTGGTTTTAAATCATGAGTTTTTCCTATGGGCCAATAGCCCTAAGCGGATTCACTAGGGATCGCCGGTATAACCTAACCTAACATAGGTTACTCTGACTGATTAGAAGTTACATATAGATCTAAAGTTTTCGGACGAAAATATCTACTTCAAATCTTTATTATATGCAAATTTGTAGTAGACATTTTTACGAATCTAAGAGAATTTTAAAACTTTATTGACGATTCTCTTCCCAGTGCATGTTTAAGAATGTTTGTGGAACAGATTTTAGATAGATTTAAAAACATACCCAATGCGCTGTTGTATCTGTGCTTTTTTTTTGCAGTAGGTGGAAAGCATCGAAAGCCACAGTGTGGTGAGACTTGAACCCACTAAAACCACCTCTTAGGAATGAAAGGAGAAGCTTTCCACAATAATGTGGAAACTTCATTCCAGTAATCATGGGAAAGAGGAATGAGAAAATAGATTTAGATAGTTCACTAGGTAGAACTAGGCTCATCTAAATCAGAAAGCAAGGGCATGAACTAGGTAGGAAGGGCGTTATAGAAGGGAAAGGGGTTACGGCTAACTAGCGGTTGTTGAATCAACAATATACTTTGTGACTAGGGTCACGAAAGCCGCGGTTATATAAGGGGATAGTGGAGAGGTTATGGTCCACTTCATTGAAGTAGTGGGTCAGGTATTGAGGGGGTTACAGCGCAAAGCTACAACAAGGTCTTCTGGAAGAGTGAGAGGAGTAGACACGTCGGGGGGAAGGTCATGGAGCCGGGTGAGATGCCTACGGGCGAGTGACAGAAGATACTCGTTAACACGAGTGATCTTGGCGTTGTTGTAGAGAGTTGATATGGAGAAGTACTTGCCATTACGCTTGCGAAGAAGTTTCCGCTCAAACAGGCGTATTCTTTGCATCTGAGCGGAAGTGATGGCAGAGGGAAAATTATAAATTAAAATACTAAAGTTTGTATTAATGAATAATTAGTTATTCAATATTTAGTTTATATTGAATGATGATACCAGAAAGGATTCTAAAAGATCCAAAGGACAACAAAAAAAACACTAGATTATATGTTCGTTAATAGTTTATTCAAAAAATTTATAAAATGTAATGATAATAAAAAAGTGTATTGAATTTACAAAATTATAATGAATTTATAAAAGTAAATCAATTCGCAAAAATAAACTTAATGGATACGATAATATTTATTCTTATTCTATAAAATCTTTAAACAAAAACAGATTCATATTTTGGTAAATTATTTCAGGAACATATGGAATGTCCTCATAGGAAAAATATCTACAACATTCGAGTTGTGAGGTAAAGTACACCAAACGAAAATGGAATCTAAATGTTTTTGTTTGAATTAAATTCAAATTTTTGATATTTCATTTGTTTTTTGTTTTGTTTTTTATAAAAAAATATTCAAATTAAAGCAAATAGTTAGCAAAAGTTTGTTCATTAAACTCAAGTATGAGGTATTATTTTAGCACTTATGTTACCTCAGTGTGCAACAAATTAAATAAAAAGTAAATTTGAAGCGTCTTTAGCGCCGTCAACTAATATAAAATAAAAATTAAATGGAATTATAAAGAAAAAATGTACTTAATATTAGATATATATATATGTATATAGATATATATATACAGAATGTTTTTTTTTATTTCTTACAAGAAATATAAATTCTTCTCGAGTGCAGTAGATGGAGCACGCATGATGTTCTCACCTACCAAGAATGCCAATTTATGAGCATATTGACACACTGCAGGTACGCGGCAGGTACCAGCCCAATTATAATACATGTGAGTCATTTTGTAACTAAGCATTTGAATATGTTCTGGCTTGAAGCCTGTTGTATCGTGTATAACGTTATAGTTGGTAGGAGAGACTGTACCTTGGAATACAGACTGCGACACTAAATAAAAGTCATAACGCTCTGGTAAAGTAATAATATCGTCCACAACGGTACCAGGTGGAGGATTGCGACCTTTAAGAAAGTATCGCGTATTGATTCTTTTGGATACAACTATAAATGCAAAGCGTGGTGGTGCACTTCCCTTGCTACTATATATTTCGTCTAATCTATTGACTAGAGCTTTAACTTCATGGTTTACAACTTGGTGCAGCTGACCATCACCAACTCCATCGCGATAAAATACTATACGTTCAGGCAAGCATTGATGCTCCTCCAGATATGCTCGTAAAGAGTTCGCTACACTTAGCGTTAAATAATTTGATAATTCTTGGCCTTTTACATGTTCTTGGACTGATGAATAATATCTCGAAGATTTCCTTATGTCCATTGTTGAAACAAATGCGCCATATGAGTTATTTTTATTTTTAGTTGAATGACATACATCAAAACCGCATGTCATAATACCAAGATTAGGCATATCAATCATCCATGGAATTCCGCGCAATTTAGCGTTCATTTGAATGACAACCTTCGTTGCTATTGACATTAGACCAGCCGACTTTTCTGGGCGTGGTGCAATAACCTTCATAGTCACAACTTGTGAAGCAACTGCTCTATCAACGCAACACTTTTTCTTAATTACAGCATATCTGCAAATCAATAAATAATATCAATAATGGTGTTATTATTTAGAAATATTTTATATTTACTTTTCTTCGTTGGGACTGAAAAGTACCGCCATAATGATCTGCGGATCCTGAGATGCAGCAACATCTATAGCTGAAGCATAAGAATTATTTCTGTCATCCTTCATTTCGATACTGTAAAATAAAACAAAAAAGAACATTAAAAGAGACATCAAAATAGCTGAATATGTAAATACTATATATATCGTAATTGTGACATAATAATGGTAGATAGCTGACTTTAAATGTGATCATAAGAGTTACAATTTAGAAAAATCATCCCAAGATTGGTCGGATCTACGTCTCAGAACCACTCGCCAATTTCGACGACCAAGTGCCGTTCAAAACCCCACAAAGAGATTTCACAAGCAAGTCTCCGCAGGTTAGAACAACAACAAAATCTTGGTATACACATGCATATATCTTAGACATAAGCTCCTTTTGGAACGAAAATCTGGGATTGTTTTTTTATGTGGACTCTGATTAGGTTCAAGATTAATACCTTTTACTCTTCTCACATTTCATCGCTTTCCCATTCTATGCCATTTCGTAAAATTTGTTATGATTTTATTAAATAGTTTTTGAGGTCGGGTCGGTGTTGATTACAACTTTAACTCCAACAACAAATAATAAGCATCCTATAACATTGTACGATCATTGTATGAAATTCAGATAGCTTCCTGAGACTGAGAACTGGAAGAGTTTCCTTAACCGCATATTTGAAAAATATTCCATTAAACTTAAACATTAGAGACATTTTTGCGAGATGGGCACAGAAAACTTTTCGTTCAAATATATCTAAAGGTCTGCTTAAACAAACTATTTTGCAATTACTGATCGTGGAACTGTACTATCTGCAATCAAAATACGTAACGAGTATAGCAAGCTTCACTAAAATAAATCCCCAATCCATCCACATTCCCTATAATATTCCCCGCCTTCTTCACTCATCAATTACCCACTCACAACCTAAAAAACAAGTATCGTCGTATAATTTCTTCTTCTTTACAGACACTAACATGGCTCTTATCGAGAATGGTCACAAACGCTTGGTCGTCGGAAAAGACAAGTGGCTTTAGGACAGGCATCCCCAATCGTTTCTGAATTAAATTTTTTTTTTAACGTGGGCCACACTAAATTTTAGTCCTCTAAATACATAATATAATTTTTTTTTACTGCTAGCACATTATCCCTTCTAAACATATCTGTTACTAAAGGAAAGTGAATTATATTTAATAATATAAATAGCAAATTTATTGCACATTGAACTCTTCAAAGAGCATTTTAGGCTCGCCAAAGGGTCGAGAGCTAGTTTTTAAAGCTTTGCGGTCTTATACAGTAAACCACCAATTGGCCCAAGTGAATTATTAGGATTGCCAGTATAAACTAACCTAAAATATGTTGAACGAAAATAATGATGAACCAAAAAAGTGACTGACCAAAAAAATGATTGACCAAAATTTCTAATGTCCAAAAAATGGATTGACCAAAAATATGTTTGACTAAAAAATGACTGATAAAAAATATGTGTGACCAAAAAAAATTATATTGAAACGACAGGACTATATAGCTTAGTGTTTTAAAATATACTTAAAGTATTTAAATAGTTATTCAAATATACACATTTAGTTAATTACTTACTAGTTTGGTTCATCAATTTGCATCTTCATGCCGCCAGCTACCCGTTGACACGTTTTGACGAAATTCTGAGCTTCACGTACATTTCGTCCAGTAACGATTACGAACCAGCGTTTAATATCCGTTTGTGCATACATCTGATTGGATCGGAATTCACGAGACCAATCAGCTTTTTCATCGCACTCATACTTTGCATTTCGGCCAAACAATATTTTTTCTGAATTCAAAACGCGAGCAGGAACTTCAAGTAATTTTTTATCCAGGGTTACATCCCAAGCTTTCATAACGTTCATACTATCCGCCGAACGCTGCAAACGTTCATTGAAAACTCTCAAACGCTCAATACGACGATCTGGATTTAAACGAGCATGCTCATGTATTGCTTTCATTAATCTGTAAAAAAGCAAATTTATATTTAATTAAATAAATTGATTTTTATTTATTCTAAAAACAATTACCTCCAGTCCGCACGCATAGTATCATTCAGGCCAGTAGCACGTGTCAATTCTGGAACTAATATTATTAAATCATCCTGACCACCTCTAATATTTTTTTCGGTAGGCTTCGATATCAAGAGAGGTTGATTCAAATCGCGAATTGTGAGATTGTAACGCTATAATAAAGAAATCAATAGTTAAATATATGCTATTGTTAGGCCTTATAAATAAAGTTATAATCTAATCTAATCTAATATATAAAAATCTCGTATCACGTTGTTAGTGTTTAAAATCCTCCGAAACAGCTCGACCGGTTTTCATGAAACTCTTTATGTATATTTTGGTAGGTATGAGAATAGATCGTATAGTATATTTCATACCGCTAAAGTGATTAGGGTGTCCCCATGCAGAAAAATATTTTTATTTTTTTGGACATAAATGTTTTTATATATTTGATGCCATAAATATAAGCAACACCTTACAGGGAAATATAGATCCCATGGTGGAATACTTTCACAAATGGAAAATTAAAATTAACATGGACAAAGCAAGGCTATATTCATAACACGAAAGAGAAGGAAAGAGAAGCAGTGAGCGTCGGTGGGAAATGCACTTATTGTCATGCACTGAAATTCAAACAAGAGTCAGCCGTGATGTGTTGCGCATTAGAAAAAGTGCAACTACCAGAAATTAAGAAACCACCAGAGCCATTCTATAGTTTGCTCATCGGCACGCCTGAAGATTCAAAACTGTAAATTATCTCCAGCAGAGTTTTTAAACTCACTGGTGTAATATAATTTCAACTGGCAACCCTCTCGTTTGACAGTCGATGATGACAGGCGGCCATCTGGGCAAGATGGCGAGAAGTAGGATTATATTGTGAGTTCAATTTGGTTTTTGCATTTGTACAGTGTAGGTTACAGTTTACAGTTTGGTGTAAATGCATGGAGTGAAATAGAATACTTAAATTAAATAATAAGATTCCTGACAGTAAACTGGATTTCATTCTATGACTGTAATGACTGTAAGTTGGATCGCCGGTTATTTTGCTTAAACCCAGCACGGCTATGCAATGGTACGCGATTGGTAATTAAAAAATTGAAACCATCATTTTCAATAACAAGTTCCAATGTTTTACTGCCACGAATTCGTATAATTCCCACAAACGCTTCAATTTCCTACTAGATTGGCTTTCACATTTACCATCAATAAGTGGGAAGACCAAACAAACGATGTTTGGGCATTGTGACATGTTCTCGCGTATGCAAACTATGAAGCCTATTTGTGTTAGCTGAAGATGGACTCTCAAAAAATATCGCGCACTCTATATCTCTTTGAAATTTATATTGATTTACTTTATTTTTCATTTTCATAATTTAATAATTTAAATTTAACTTTTAAGAGATCAAACAAGGAATATGTCCGTTATTTTAATGAAATATATTGAATTAAGAAAACGAATGGTTGGTGTTTTTTTTCTTTTTATCGGCGATCATCGTCTACAGCACTCAATTCCTCTTTTTATCATACAACCCATTCTCACACATTCACAAAACATTTGTTCTTTTATATACAAAAAAAAAAAATAATCACTAGAACTAATTTATATGGCAGAACAACGTTTGCCAAGATATCTAGTATTTCATAAATTTTTTTAAATATAAAAATGATTAAATAAAATCATTCTACATAAAATCATGCTACTAAGACTATATATTTGTTATAAGAGAATTTCTGCTTACTTGTTTGTAGTAATCTGCGAATGTGACATCTTTTTCCTTTTGTTTGAAAGTGGATCTGGGCGACATACCAAAATCTACATCACTCACACGGTATGTTTTGTTGTTGTAATCAGTGATTACTACCATGCCTGTAACAAGGTTTAAGTATTTTTAGTTAAAGTATTGACAATCATTCTACATATTACAATGTACTAATATGTATTACTATGTACTACCTACCAATTACTTCTGCCTTAAATGCGTTCTGATAATCTGACGACTCTTTCACTAATTGAGTCAAAATGTTGTAAATTGTATCAGTGCGTAAAACCTTATGTGCGATTTCAGCACACATCAATACATCCAGCTCATGCTGACGAATCGAGGTAATGTATCCCGGCCAAATTTCCAAACGGAAATTCTCAATGCGTATCTAGAATGAAATAAAAAAAAATAATTAAAACTATTTGTTAAATAGACTTTATTTAACAATTATACTAAACTTACTTTAGCTACTGGATCAAAGAAATTTCGATTCAATTGTTGTAGTTTCAAGCCTTCCATAGATCGACGTAAAATCAAGTTGAGTACTTGCATCTGTTGCATGTCAGTCGACTCTACTATGCCAACATGTTTAATTTTAATTTGTACTGTGTTTTCTGCACGATCCTTTGTTAGTATCTCATGGACATCATTTACCATTATACTTTTCAAATTTTGTGTTGAAAATAACAAAGTACCATCAAAAACGTAACCTCCAAACAAATCTTTATGCTGTCCTATCATTCCACGACGTACATGTAACAAATCGACTTCTGGTGCAAAATCAACACGGTACTGATGTATAACCCATTCCGGTGTTTTTAATAGACGAAAATAGTTAGTCTGAACCATAACTGGACGACCAACTGCACCTTGTTTATTTACGCACGACACTGGTCGAGTGTGTTGTATAACGTCAGTTAAAACACGTTTACCCCGCACACCTCCACGTAATTGGTCAATTGCAGCTATAGATATGGACACAACAACATAAAGAAATAATATAAAATATCACCTAAAGAACAATCGTAATTATATATGCATACCAATAGTTGTTGCCTCAGTGTTGTCACGACTTTGACCAACGTTTGAACTGGAAGAACCACCTAAAGGAAAATATTCACATCAACACAAGCCTGATTAAATTATATATTTTATGACATACTCATAATTCCACTAGAAAGGGACTCATCAGACTGATGAGAACGTCCCCAACTTGCTGTTGATGGCAAACCACCAGAACTCTAAAATCAAATGAATACAAATTAATTAAATGTTATAATGTAAATATTTTAAATTTACTATTATTAAAATTACTATTATTTTTACTTACAGATGATTCAGAGGCAGGATAACAGCCAAGTCCATCACCGCGCCCACGATACGTGCCAGTGCTACGTTCTCCACCACCGCGTGGACCACCACGTTGGCCACCACCGCCGCCGCGAGGTTGCCAGCCACGGTTGCCGCCACCATCACCGCGGTTGCCACGATAACCGCCGCCGCCACCATCACCACCACCGCGGTTGCCACGATAACCGCCGCCGCCGCCACCACCATTACCGCCTCCACGTCTACCTCTGTCTCCTCCTCTATTTTCAGAACTTCTTCCGCGTTCTCCTCCACCACCTCTATATTCCGAGCCTCTTCCGCGTTGCATTTTAAAGATGTATTAAAACTTTAAAATTAAATTATGTTTTAATAAAATAATTGACAATTATTTTAATATGCATTTATGCAAAAATCAATTCCAAAATTTATTGGAATTTTAATTCTTCGTATTTAACTGCAGCTTTGCTTTACTAAATACGACACCAAACACAATAGCAAAGCGGCTTCCCCTTATTGCGTCGCCGATGGCAGCACATTCTGACAATTGTTTGACATTTTACACTTGGCTCTGCCATTTTGAATTTATGTTTTTTTTTTTACTTATATTTGAAAATTTGTATTAAAAGCATTACTGCATAGTTCAAATGAAAGATAAGCAAAAACCAAAAAAAAAAAAAATATATGTTTACACATACATATACACATGTACATGCCAATGTTTTCTTTATCATGTGCAACTGCATGGAATGAAGATCGTTGCATATAAGACCACAAAATAACAACAAAAAGCATTAAACAAATTACCATTAAAATAAATATATAATTTTATATATTTAAAATTGAATGCAAAACATGAATTTATACATTTTCTAATCATTCACTTCTACTACCAGTTGCTTCAAAAACTGTTGCTCTTTTTATTCTTTTTTGTGCCACTGTTCCTTACGTGGAAAAAAGGATAGACGGCATGGTTTACTGTTACCCGAGACGACGCTCAGCAAAAACAACAAAAAAAAAAAAAAGAAAACGTGTTATAATGCACACCATTGCACAATTAGCAAAATTTTAAACAATATTTAATTCCATTTAAAAAATAATTTTTGAAACAGCGCAATTAATTTTTAAAAATTCTGTTCATTTCACAATCATTGTAAAACTAGAAAATATCCTACATTTTACAAAAGATCTTACACAAATATCACTTAAACTAATTTAATTTGAAATTTTTCTTAAACACTTAACCGCAAATGATAGATTATAATATTTTTAATAAATCTCTGCACATAAAAATTAATATCTATGATTTTAACTCACCTTAACTAAATGTTTGAAATTGTATGAAGTGATGATCTTCGCGGTTCAGTATGAAAGAAAGCTATGACAGCATTGAATGATTAGCGTCGATTTAGTTAAGGATGGTAAACTATCGATAACAACAAACTGTTGCGTAGTAATTTGCAGCGAAAAATTCTATATATGCCATTCGCTTCAAATAAGATCAATTTGTTGCAAATATTGCCAATAAGTATTTTTTGGCAATCCGTATTTATGCAATAAATTATTTTTATTTTTGTTTACAATTAGATCAGCATTACATTTCGTTAGTATAAATATGAACATAGATATCTTGAAACATATATGCAATATATTAGTGTAAATATTAAAACATATATATCAAAATATAGATAATAAATAAATATAAATATAAACAAAGATATTTTAAAACATATATGCAATATATTAGTGTAAATATGAATACATATATGTATCTCAAAATATAAATTATAAATATGTATATATACATTGTGACCGAAAAGTTTCCGGAAAATTTTAAATAAAACGCAAAATTCTTAATCTTCATCAATATTTATTTTAATCTCCTTCAAAATATGCTCCCATTAGGAAGCGATACACAAATGCCAACGTTTCTTCCAATCATCAAAACATTTTTTATAGGCGCTTTCCGGTATGGCTTTGAGTTCCCTCTGCGAATTCTGTTTTACGTCTTCTATGGATTCAAAACGCGTTCCTCTGAGTGGTAATTTGAGGTTGGGAAACAGGAAAAAGTCACACGGTGCAAGATCAGGTGAATACGGTGGCTGTTCGATGGTATTTATTGAATGTTTGGCCTTAAAATCGTTGATAATGTTGAACAAATTGAGGTGAATCGGAACAAGCCGGGCGTTGACACGTCGCATACACAAATTGTCCACCAAAATCAAACGAGCCATCTCACGACCGATGCCTAGCTCTCGTGCTATCTCTCTAACACTCACATGAGGATTTTTGAACACGATTTCCTTTGCCTTTTCAATGTTTTCGTCGGTGGTAGAGGTCGAAGGTCGTCCAGAACGCGGCATGTCTTCGACGGTCGTACGACAGTCCTGAAAGGCTTTGTACCACTCATAAACTTGAGTTTTCGATAAAACTGATTCCCCATAAGCCTTTTGTAGCATTCGCAACGATTCTGCACACGAAATTTCGTTCGAAAAACAAAATTTGATGCAAACTCTTTGTTCAATATTTTTTTCCATTGTTTTTTTCGCAACGCACTACTGAGGTGAACTGGTTTCAACAGCTGCCGTAAACGAACTGTCCGACAGATTCGCGCTCATTTTTGCATAGTAGTAATTAAGGACAGTGCTTGCCAAACTACATAAACTTAAAATATCGAAAAATATACAGCGCGCGAATTTTAAATGAGAATTTCCGAAAGCTTTTCGGTCACAATGTATAAACAAAGATATCTTAAAACATATAAACAATTAATTAAAATTAGTATTAAATAACTTAAATAATAAAGATGTTCAAAAAATTCGTTATTTATCATATGTTTTTATATGAATATACATATGTACATGGTTTAAATTTTAAACTTAAAAATATTTCAAATAGACATTGAAGATGTTTTCTGGTTTAAAAACACAAGTACCGGACTAAATTTGGCTGTTAATCATAAGCGTTTTCGGTGGCTCGTAAGTGTGGTAAAAAACGCATTTTGGCGTATATTCGCATAGCGAGACATTAGCATCATTGTTGCAATCTGTCAAATGTTATGTTTTGGCAAATAACAGATCTTGCATATAAGAACATAATGCAAGCAAATTACATTTTGTATATAAATAGGTTATATAAAATTGATAATTAAATTGAGGTAAATTAAATTGAAATTTCCTAGGTGCTTTTTGCACTGTACTTATGCAAATATTAATTTATTGCACTTATTTATTATTTTTGGTTTAAAGTTTTCAAATTTATTTATTAAACATCTTATAAAATGTTCATGATGGTAATACCTAATTTTTCTAACACCTAATTTTATCTAATTTACCCTACTCGAAATTCTGGTAAATACCAACATTTGCTGCCATATCGACATAATTTACTATTTCCCTCAATTTACCATTAATTTACACGAACTTGCAGACGGCCTTAATAATATGTAAAATAAATTTTGTTAATTCTATTATGGCCGTGTGAGAGTTCGAATAATTTGAGGTAAAGTAAATTGAAATATCCTAGGGATTTTTTGCACTGTACTTATACACATATTTATTTATTGCACTTATTTATTATATTTGGTTACACGTTTTCATATATATTTATTTATTTATTAAACATTTTATTTTTCATGATGGTAATACCTAATTTATCTAATTTTTATCTGATTTACCCCACTCGAATTTTTGGTAAATACCAAGATTCGCTGCCATACCCACATAATATATCGGTATTATTAATTCATCAATTTACTCGCGCACGGCTTATATATAATAAAAATAATCACTGTTTTAGAAATAAATTAGTTCATAATATTTTTATTTAAATTATATGATATGCTTTATATTCAAAGTTAAATATATATGTATATTGCAGTGCTTATATATTATTATTAAGACATATTTATATTTTAACAAAATCATCAATTTAGTCTAATTACAACTTAGGTCGTGTGCGAGTTAGGCTAAGTTGCGTTCTAAATGAGGGAAATTCTAAGTTGTGTCGATAATGTATTGATGTGTCGATACGTGTTGATAAATGGCAAAATGTGTGCAGTGCAAAAAATCCCAAAAAATCTCCCATTTGGTTTAGCATCAACTTAGCCTAACTCGCACACGACTTTAGTCTAATTTAGCTTATATATATATCTCCTTCGGTTTCGACTTTAAGCATATAAGCAGAAGTAAATAAATGTTGAATTAAATTGAATTGAATATTGCAGTACTTAGCAGTATAGTTGAGTGGTAAATTCATTACATTTAAAATTATACGTTTATTTTACATATGACTTCTTTTATATATGACTAATTCTTTAATTAAAATAGTTTAATTAAAAATAATTATATTAATATATATAATAAATTCTTTTTAACATTAACTTACAATTCTTAACTATAATGTGGCATCACTAACAGCTGTTTTATTTTCACCATACTTGGTTATTCTTCTTGCAAATTTGTTTACGTGTAGCGACAATTTCTTCTGATTTATATAAAAAAAAACTGTAAAATTTCAATATGATACACAGTTTGTTTATTATTAATAACAGCGGGTAAGCAAAATACTTTTTTGGCGTTATAATAATTATAAGAATTATTATTTTAGAGATGTTTTCTTGGAGAAACACTGGCGTTCAGTTGTCTCACGATCAGTTTGTGATTACTTCCTCGATGAGCAGCGTAATGCACCATATGTAAATATAAATCTTGTCATATATATTAAACTGAATAAATAAACTGAATAATACAATTAATATGAACTAGGATGTGCCACCAGTTATTTCTACACCACATTATTATTTGATTACTGTACAGCGTTGTGGTGTGTCTTTGGTCGCTGCGTGCAAGCAGGAGGTGCCGCCACTCTTTGTTATAGAATTCTTACATCGTGTAGTCGACACATTCGAGGATTACTTTGGAGATTGTTCAGAAAATGTTATTAAAGAAAACTGTGTTGTTGTTTACGAACTTTTAGATGAAATGTTAGACAATGGTTTTCCTTTGGCAACAGAAAGTAACATATTGAAAGAGTTGATCAAGCCACCGAACATTTTGCGTACTATTGCCAATACTGTAACTGGAAAGAGCAAGTAAATACATATAGATATATTCTTTAAATTACAATAATAACATTTCTCTTCATGTTTCATAATTAAAAAAATAGTGTCAGTACAACATTGCCATCGGGTCAATTGTCCGCCATACCATGGCGTCGTAGCGGTGTACGTTATAATAACAATGAAGCATACTTCGATGTCATTGAAGAAGTTGATGCTATAATAGATAAATCTGGTTCAACAGTTTTCGCTGAAATTCAGGGCTATGTAAGGGGACATATGTTATAAAACTTTTTATTACACTAAATCATTATTTAATATTTTTAGATTGATTGCTGCATTAAGTTGTCTGGCATGCCCGATTTAACACTCTCTTTCATGAATCCGCGTTTATTTGATGATGTCTCATTTCATCCTTGCGTACGCTTTAAACGTTGGGAAGCTGAGAGACTCTTATCCTTCATACCACCTGATGGTAATTTTCGTTTGATGTCATATCACATAAGCGCACAATCAGTCGTTGCTATTCCCATATACATACGTCATAATTTCTCGATTAAGACTGGTGAACAAGGACGTTTAGATTTGACAGTGGGTCCTCGCACTACTCTCGGACGCACAGTTGATAAAGTCAAATTAGAAATAACAATGCCAAAATGTGTTTTGAATTGTGTTTTAACGCCGAATCAAGGCAAATATACATTTGACTCCGTAACAAAAACCTTATCTTGGGATGTGGGGCGTATAGATGTAACTAAACTACCAAACATAAGAGGAACCGTAAGTTAACAATTTATGTAGATGGAATATTTTCTGTTCATATTCACACTTTATGTTGAATTAGGTATCCATTACGCCTGGCAGTACAAACATCGATGCAAATCCTTCAATCAATGTGCAATTTACTATATCACAGCTAGCTGTGTCTGGTTTGAAAGTAAATCGATTAGATATGTATGGTGAAAAATATAAGCCTTTTAAAGGAGTTAAATATATAACTAAGGCAGGCAAATTCCAAGTCCGAATGTGAGATGAGTAAAATACAATTCCAATAATTCTTTCTGTTATATTAGCTACTTAAAAAAATTTATATTGAAAGTAGAAAAGAAATTAAAAATCTCGAAAAGCTATTGCTATTGTAAAATTTCGCATGATTGATTCATATAAAATACATTATTTACTTTTAAGGAAGTATTTATACATGCCAGTTGTGCATATAAATTATTATATATTCAAAATATTTATTCCAACATATTGAATATGTAACGAACGTGTTCGAAAATCTTGATATAGCGCAAGCTTTAAACGATTTATTGTTATGTATATTAATACATAATTTTTAACTGA